TTATTTTCACGTGTCACAAACAAAAATCGTTTTGTTCTGCTTTTTGTCAACTACTCCACTCCAAAAACTATTCTCTTTTTTGAGAGAAAGGGGGAGCAGGTCTTCCATGTTGTGCTGTTGGAAAACATCCAGAGTTGCAGCACCAGGTCTCCGGGTGAAGGGGTTCGAGGAAGAGGAAAGCGATACAAAGAGGCTGTGCTCTGCCCTTATCTGTCTGGTCGAGTCATTCCTGGCCGAGTGGGCACCATCGTAGGACGGGCTGGGGGCCGCATCATCGGGGGCCCAGGCATCATTGGCATGTGGCCGCCCATGGGTGGCCTCATTCCAGGAGCGGGTCCCACTGGCACCATTCCAGGAGGAGGAGGGCCCATCACTGGCATCATGGGTGGTCCCCCCATGTGGGGTGCCGGCATCATACCAGGGCTAGGAGGACCCGGGAGACTGGGGGGAGGCGGGATCATCGCCCCTGCTGGAGGAGGAGCAGAGAATGGAGTCGGAGGTATCTTTCCTTGTTGAAATGCAGCCGTTGTTTTGTCAATCAGGCTCTGAGCCTGCTCTTCCATCCATTTCTGATAGTAGACTTTCACATTCGCTTTGTTTCCTACCACTACACTGTGTCTTTCTCACAGATGGTGAGTCATGGGTGAGCTATGCATCGCAGTAGTCACAATAAAACTTAGGCATGGTGCTCGACCGACCGTTTGCTACTCCGTTCGGCCAGAAAAAATTTTAAAAAGAAAGAAAAACCTGTAAATAGATCAGGGTCTGATTTTTGACCTCTAGGCCTGCCTGCCCTCCAGTCAAGTCCGATGGCGTGCCACACTCTGGCCTCGCCACTGCTTGAGAATACCCCAAGCAGAGAGGAGTCTTCCACAATGCCTGGTCTTGGCACAAGGGACTCCATTTTGAATCCGGCACCTTCTTGGTTCTCAAAACTCACCTCTCATGGGCCTCCCTCACATCGGCCTCCCCTCCCCTCGCTAAAAATCATCAGTTCTGGAGAAAATGTTCTCTGAAGATATGTTTACTTCACCTGCCCCGGTACCTATAGATAAGATTAACGACCACTTCCCTGCATCCCTTGAAAATGTGTTTATTCCACCCATCCCGGACCTATAAATAAAATTAATGAGCGCTTCCCTTTGAAGTCCCTGCGTGCAGCTGTGCCTGCCACCAGGGGATATAAAAACGCAGCCAGAAATTCCCCTCGCGCGGTTTCATTAGCTCAATACGTGAGTTATTGAACCCGTCCGCAAGCTTCTCAATAAAGCCTGCTTCTAAAACTTTACCAATTGGACCTTTAATTCCGCTTCGTGCCCCAAAAACCCTTACACACAAGTCACATGATATGTAAATAAATGTGGATAATTCATGCAAAGCCTCTCAAAGTTGATTGGTTACAATGGGGTTTATCAAGAAAAGTCTAATCTTAATACAATTTATCTTCCTTCCCCCATTAGCCGAAGGAAGAGTTGTGTTTCATTCATTCTCACCCAGAAAAGAGACAGAAATGAGTTTAATCACTTACATATAAACAAATAGTTTCAGTAATTCCTAAATGCTGGCTTCCCATGTGTCTGATTAAATAGAGTTTATATTTGTTTTGTGAAAACGAGCAGTCATGCCTTCACGTTGAGGATGGGGTGTTTTGATCTTGGAGAGGAACAAAGGCAGCCGGGTTCATTACAGCAAGTCCTAGTACAGCTGTAAGTTTCCATTTTAGCCCCAGTTGGAGACATGAGCTCCAGGTGTGTCCAGGTCTCTCCACAAGTGTAACTTCTTTTGGAATGTTAACGGGCTACACTGTATCATCTTCTGCTCCTGGGTCTGGGGTTCATTTTAATAAGTGTTTGTGCACTGACTCATCGATTCTCCCTTCGGCAGCATCAGAAGCTTCACGTGTGTGGGCTGAATTTTGAAACTTTTGGTCCTTGTTTCTTGGACATTGGCCCATGAATTACCTTGGAGACAGGCCACAGGGCCTTTAAAGAGAAACATATGGAGAAATTGAAGAAAATGAAAG